ATTCAGACCCTAGGTGAGTAAGAAAACAGGGAGGCTGTGATAAGAGCCCACCCGCTACTGCACAGCACAAGGCGGCATCCAACGAACGGATGGACGCCTCAGCACAAGCAACACCCGATCGGATTGTCCCCTGCACATTGCACAATGCACCCTTGCCTGGACCATCACGCCTGTGTCCGTACCCTCATTCTCCCGTTCCCCCCTCTCTCTTGTCCTCAGCTTCGGCCTCAGGCCAAGGCTAGGCGATTCGTGTACTGGGCGCGCGCGCGCGCGTGTGCGTGTGTATACTGAGGTGTGGTGCGTGGTGAGTGTTGGTGTATGTGTGTGTGAGTGAGAGAGACCGGCCCGGCACCGAGCCAACAATTTCGCTGGGCGCTGGCTGCATAGCACAACAGCAGCAACATGCCTGTACAAGCACCGCCAACGGCACCACCACTTGCTCCCACCTCACCTCAATGTTTTTTATTTTATTTTTATTTCTTTTCTGCTGCAGAGTATTCCATACTGCGTACCCGTGCCCAAATCCCTCCCTACCTCCCTCTTCGCTCCATCTGCACTGCACCTCCAGGCTCCGGCACCACTCAAGTTCCTCCTCAACCACCACCTCACCTCACTCCGTACCCAGCGGCTACCTGCCAGTAACAGCCCTGGGAAGCCCCAAGCCCAGCAGCCCAGCCCGGTCCAGCCCATCCTTTTCCCGCCAGCTGCTTCGCACTCCCCGTGCAGTGCATGTGGTCCGGGGGGCGGATTACCCACTGAAATCACTCGTCTGCGGCTGCCATCCGTCCACCTGCCCCAAATTTCCATCCATTCTCTCCCAGTCCTCCCCCATCCATCCTTTCCTTTCCTGAAATCCTCTTCCAAGCAACCACAACCACGCAACCACCCCCTTCCCGTCCTCTCGGCCTGATTTCGCCTCCCCGAAACCAGTCAGCTCAAATGGGCATCGGGATAACGAGCAGCTAGCTGACCTGCGACCCTCATCATCCTTTTAGACAAATCGTCCATTTTTTCCCACCTTCATACACCAACCCCCGATCGACTCCATCAGACCGCCTCGACCGATACCCGACACGATTAAACCGAGCATCCAGGCCCAGCCTTTGCCCCGACACTACGGTCCGTAAGAGGACGTAGGCCTTCGACGCAATGGCTTCCTCATCGAGCAACGTCGTCGGCGTGCACTACCGTGTGGGAAAGAAGATTGGAGAGGGATCTTTCGGTGTCATTTTCGAGGGCACCAACCTCCTGAATAACCAACAGGTCGCCATCAAATTCGTACGTCGCGGACTTGATTCAATCAGATACCTCGTCGTTCATGGGCGTCACGGTCGCTCAACAATGCTTCGACATCGTGCTAATATTCTTTCTCGTCGTAGGAGCCGCGTAAAAGCGACGCACCTCAATTGCGAGATGAGTACCGGACGTACAAGATTCTCGTTGGATGCCGTATGTTCATTCGACAATCTCTCGCCCGATGGCATTACTGACTTTGATTTGAAGCTGGCATTCCCAACGTCTACTACTTCGGACAGGAGGGTCTGCACAACATCCTCGTGATCGACCTTCTCGGTCCCTCCCTCGAAGATCTCTTCGACCACTGCGGCCGAAGATTCACCATCAAGACCGTCGTCATGGTTGCCAAGCAGATGGTGAGTTACGCCAGCCTTATCGTGATTTCAATCGACTAACCAATCATACAGCTATCGAGAGTGCAAACCATTCACGAGAAGAACCTCATCTACCGTGACATCAAGCCCGACAACTTCCTGATCGGCAGACCAGGCACCAAAGCCGCCAACGTGATTCACGTTGTCGATTTCGGCATGGCCAAGCAGTACCGCGATCCTAAGACGAAGCAGCACATCCCTTATAGAGAGCGAAAGTCGCTGTCCGGTACTGCCCGATACATGAGTATCAACACCCATCTCGGTCGTGAACAATCCCGCCGCGATGATCTCGAGGCTCTTGGCCACGTCTTCATGTACTTCCTTCGTGGTGGTCTTCCCTGGCAAGGTCTGAAGGCTGCAACAAACAAGCAGAAGTACGAGAAGATTGGTGAGAAGAAGCAGACCACTCCTATCAAGGATCTCTGTGAAGGATTTCCCGATGAGTTCAACAAGTACTTGACCTACGTACGGAATCTCGGTTTCGAGGACACCCCCGACTACGACTACCTCCGCGAGCTCTTCACACAGGCGCTGAAGAACACCGGTGAGGTCGAGGACGGCGAGTACGACTGGATGAAGATCTCCAAGGACAATGGCAAGGGATGGGATGCCATGAAGGGCCACAACCCCGGATACCTGCACAACCCAAATGCCCGACCCGGCCCGTCTCAGATGGAGCTTCACAGCGGCCATCGGGGCGGTGCTGCAAACCCCAACAACCCCAACAACCTGACAGTCGGCCGTTTAAACGCCGCGCAACCCCCGCCTCCTTCTCCGATCAAGCAGATGGCGAAGTCGAGAGGTCAACCAAACGCCCCCGGCGCCTTGAACGCGCAACGGGGCTCCGGAGTCGGGGGTCTTCGGGACATGGCCACCCCCACCGGCTCAACTCAGGCCCAGTTTCAGAACAGCAACCGCAACCTCCCCCAGAACGTTCCCCAACAGACACCGATGAACCAGCAGCCGGCCCCTCCTAACGGCCGTCCTGCTGAGCCTCAGCCTACAGGCTTCCAAAAGTTCATGAAGGTGCTTTGCTGTGGTATGTATTCCTCTGTGTCTCAGCCATAATCGAACCGTGTCACTAACAATCTTACAGGCTAGAATCTTGGCTTCTGTTTATGTTCGTGTTGCCACAAGGACGGCTAAGACTACACCTCACCAATATATAAATGCCCACTGGACAAACCCAGCCAGATGCCGGATCGATGTTTGAGAAAAATCAGGCGGCCACACCTGGTTGACGACTTCTTCACCACCCACCAATCCCCTTTGTCCGTCACTCTTCATCTTTTCCGACGAAAACTTATTCATCCTCTGAGCTACACTTTTTTCCCGCATGACGACCACGGAGTAGCATCCAGCGCGCACACTGGCTATTCCGGGATAATGACGAACACACTAGCCTTTCTTTCTGGTTTTCTCTTCATCTGTGCTTCGACGATGTCCTTCCTTTTGGAGGCCGTCGGGGCATCATAAAATCACTGGCATGGAAATCTCACCTCGGGAATGGGGACCTTCTTTAACTAAGAACTTTCTGTTTCTAAGGAGAGAAACAAAAAACATACAACTTGATAATGTACAGCGCAGCACGGCGCATGGCGGTTGCAGGGGTTTTTAAGCATTGGGTCAGGTTCTGCCGCACGTTTTCGTTAAAGTTGATAATAGGGCTCGCCGTGTCCGGCACAGCTTGAGGCGACTGCGCTGTTGGGGAGAGATTGGTGACTGCGAGACGGCGGTTGAGAGATGTTTCGGGGAGAGAGTTGTGTGGAGGCTGATAGACGGAAGAGAGAGGGATACAATGGACATGAAACTTTACACTACACCAGCCAATGACCTTTGCGTTTCCTGATGTGACGTGACACCGTTCCTTGTGATGAGATGCTCGTTTTGGCCTGCTTAGATGAACTAGCGCGATGATGGAGTGGTCAGGATCACCAGACTTCATGCTGCGGGAGCAACTTTGACAATAAAGGAAGACTTGATTGATTGCTGTTTCCATTGCCAAGGAACATTAATTTTGTAAACTTGAATACCTTTCTTGGACGTTTTGGGTCGTGTTGGCATTGTTGTTGCTCAGGTCACCAAGTCACCATAAACATTATACATGACAGGTATGAGATTCAGAAAGGGTGGATGTTGAACTACCTACTTCGCGAGTCCTTTGACTGGGTGACGGGATCTAGGTCAGCGTAGTTCATACCTTTATATGATCATGATGGGATGCGAGATATGATAGTCGTGTCTGGAAAGAAGAAGCGTGACGATGCTGAGACGTGTTTGTCGGCCTTTTACAAGCTGGCATGAGCCTGTCCTCGGATGATTTGATTGGCTGAGCTGACGTAGATATTGAGACGGGGGGCTTGGATCTATGTGATATTGATCTGGCAAGGGAGGCCGAGAGACGTCTCTCTAGATGGGGGACATCGGCCTGGTGTTTCGGTAGTTTGTATTCGGTGTCTTGCTCTGTTGTGATAGTCCCACATGATACTTGGGGTAGGCCTCGATCATAGTCCAGATAGATGTCATACATTATAAATACGCCTTTACCAGGATCCGACCCCCTCTCTCGTGGCCAACAATGGCACGTCTCTTCGCACTTGGCGGTTTCTCAACAACCTCCGCAAGCAGGAAGGCCACCTCGGGGTGCTAGGTTAGTGACCATTCCAGAAATCGAAACAGCCCCCCAGAGCTCCTTCCGAGGCAGCTAGCTAGCTACCTTAGATCGTAGAGAGCTATTTGCCCCTGGAGGTATATTCTGTGAGGAATACGCGTTTGGTGCGTGTGAGCGGTGCTGGGTAGTCGCAAGGTAAGACGAGTACGAGTAAGTGCCACAATTCCAGCATGCGAGCACCATAATTCCATCCACCGGTCACTTCGAGGTGCTATCGCTGGCAACGAAAGCTGCCAGGTCTTGATGAAGGCAGATCGATATCCAGACATAGAATACCGTCTGTAGTTTTGCAAAGACCTCGGCCTTTATACCGAAACCAATTCATCCTCGAGGCTATGTGAACCCATTGGCCGAGAATCCGTGGTTGTTTCTTGATAGAGACTGTTCCATCGAACCTGGCACTCTAACTGGGCCAAAATACTCTGCTGCATCTACCTACCCAATAGGCCAGAAACCTAAAAGTTCAGGTGCGCAGTCTGGGAATCGAAATACGCACCCCTACAAAATCCTCAATCTGAGAAGACTTCCCGGGATTCATCACCAAGTTCTCTGCTAACGGATCAGGTCGTTACACAGCTTGACCATCGGGTATCTATTGGGCTTGATTGATGGAGGAAGACCATAGACCTGGGTATATGTAGCCTCGGGTGACAGAGCTCTTATTCGAGAGACACATCCATCGCCAGTTCCCCAGCCCGGTCCAGCATCAGGTATTGATCCAACATACTCTGCCCCAACTGTCAGCTTACATCCCTTTTAATAACATTCCAAGGAGATCTTTGTAACTTACCCAGTCCACACTAGCAGGATCATTCAAGGCATTATCCAACGCCATGAAATCAAACTCATCACCTTGATACGCCCCCTCTCCGAGGAAACCCTGGCCCTGGCCCTGGCCTGGCGTCTGGCCAGACAAGCCTACGACATCTCCAAACCCGGAGTTGAGAGTCAAAGACTCGCTGAACAGAGCCGGGTCTCGATATGTGCTGTCGAGACTACTATTTGTAATCGCTGCCGTCGTCGCTGCCCTTGTCGTCGTCCTCGCGATATTGTCGGTGTGCTGCTGCTGCTTCCTCTGGCGCGATATGCGCTGGACCATGGCCCGCAGGACCGCCGCCGCATGCCTCGCGTCCTTGGAGCAGTCTGACCTCCGCGACCAGATCTCGCTTGCTGTCTTGAGGGCCTCCATTTTTCGTTCATAGTCCTCGTCACTTTTCGGTTTTCGGTCGTTAGCAAAATCAGTTTAAACATCCTAGGCTCGCCACTCTCCTCTCAACCCATCTCCAGGCCAAGAACGAACACCCTCAATGACCGTAGATGGGAGACAACATACCTCGTGTCTGTACTCTCATTCAAATCCAAACAAACCACCATGGCAGCAATCATGAAGTCATGCAAAGTCAAACTGCTCAACATGTACCGATCCTCAAACAACCTGCCCCCCGGGCTCGCCTCCCGATCAAACTCGGCGTGCAGATCCAACACTCGCAGCGCCGCAGCGCTACAAATCTCCCTCGACGAAGCGAACCGCGGGTCCCCATTATAACAACCCTTCTCCCTGCTCAGGTACCGCCGGTGCAGCACGCACAGCGCTTTACTGTACATCAGCTCCAGCATCAGCCGCTGCATGACCGTGTGATTCTGCTCCGTGAAGCCCGTCTCCCGGATCGGCCTCACGCGCAGCACGGCGGGCAAGGCGGCGTGCCAGGCGTGTAAGGTGTCGTTGAGAACCTGGGTCTCTGCGTAGGCTGGCTGCGCGGGCGAGAGGGCGTGACGGATGACGCGCCGCAGGATCCGGCAGAGTTTCGACTTGTAGCAGTAGTAGAGCGCAGGCGTGGCTTCCGTCGGCGGGCGAGGCGGCGGCATCGTCGTCGTGTTCTCGTCAAAGTCTTCGTCTGGGTGGTTCTCGGGCCCGACTGCGTCGTTATCGCCCTCGTGGACGATGGCGGGCATGCCGAGCTGGAAGGACAGCAGGAGATCGAACGCCTCGCAATAGAACCAGGCGCGGCGGCGCATCTCGGCGTCAAAGGGGGTGATGGGAGCCGAAAGGTGCGAGGGCTCGAGGTGGTAGCCGCGGCGCTGGGCCAGGCGCGTGGCGACGCCGAACATGTTCCAGAGGACTGGGTCCATATCCCTGCTGCCCAGGACGCGGGAGTAGGCGACGAGGAGGGTCGCTTCGACCGAGTAGGGTCTCGCGGCGAGGTAGTTGCCCTTGATGAGACACTGTACCGCGCGGCCCGAGTACGCCGAAGCCTCTTTCAACTTTGTAAGGTTGAGGCCGAGTGCTTCGGCGTTACCCTTGCCGCGGATGATGACGGTGGCGTTTGATATGATGGAAAATAAGATGCTTATCCACAGCCAGCTCATCGATTCCGGGTTGGCCGAGAAAGCGGCGTACTCGCGCTGAAAGCGGCCGACGTGGATAAAGGGCACGGCGGTGAACCGGGCGTTGAAGTAGACGCCGAGGAGCTTCTCGAGGTCCTGTCGCGGCGGGAGGCTGTAGAGAACCTCCGGCAGAGAAACAGGGACGACGGCACCGAAGAGGAAGTCCGGGCCGATGGAGCAGGCGCCCCCTTCGGGCGATTCGGGGGCGACATTCGAGTCTGGCTCAAGGGCCGTTTTGATCTCGCGAATGTGATGGAGGAGAGCGGTCCAATGCGTTGCGCCGTAGTAGGCGTCGTCTCCATCGATAGCAATCGGGGCTGGGGAGTCGTCGCTGGTGCTGCTTCCGCTCTGTTGTAGTTCCGAGTCCGTCGGTGGTGTCGGCACGGCGTTGATAACCCCGGTGGGTTTGGTGGGGCCCGGACCCGAGGCCGGCTCCGGGGCTAGCTGGGGGCCGTTCCGGTCACGGTCTTTGGATGAAGTCATGCCCCTTCTGACGAGGTCCTGGACCATGTCCTCCAGTTTTCGGAGTCGGAAGTGAACCTCCGGACGCGGCTGCTGTCCCGCTCCACTCCCACCACGATGACGAGCAGCTCCATCTGGAGTGAAAGCGGCTAGATTCCCGTTTCCACGAGTGGTCGAGCTCGGAGTGTTTCCAGTGCTTCCCCCAGAAGTGACAGGAATAGCATCGCTTCCAGAAACAGTAATATAACCGGCACCGGTAACAGCATTAGCGCCGCCTGGCGTAGAGGCAGGAACAGAAGCAGATGTAGAGGCAGAGGCAGGAGCAGCAGCCCCAAACTTGCATGCCCCCTCGTCCCCGCGCCTAACACACGCACCGCACGGGAGTGCGCGATCGCATCGTAGCTTCCGCGCGCGGCAGGCGAGGCACGAGACGGGTTGGCGGTTGCGCTTTGTCACCCTGCGTTGGCCGTCGGACAAAGACTGGGCGCGGAAGACGGACGTGAACTGTGTAATGTCCGACGAGGTCGACATTATTCGTTCCCTTTTCTTTGCGCGGGCCGCGTCGGCTCCGCTTCCCTACCCCCGATCTTAGGTACCTTACTCTATTCTTTCTTCACACCGTTTCCTTCTTTTCCTTGGAATACACACCCCTTGGGTAAGGTTATCGGTGTGTGGGGTGATCGCTATCGGCCGAGTTGTTCTCCCAGATTCCCGTAGAGTAGCGTGTAGAGGGGTGAGCTTGGGCGAAGTGAGGTAAGACGAAGTCCGAGATGGATTACCGATCTGGGATGCAAGTGACCCGGAGTTTAGCTGCTTGTCACCCTTGAGGAAGAAGCAGAAAAAAGTAGGAGTCGTACCCGGGAGAGCAATGGAGAAGCAAGTTTCCCGAAAATGTGACCAATGTCAGCCAGCAAAGGAAAGCGAACAATCGTCATCACAAGCATAGGAAAGAGAGGAGGAGGAACTTTGGAAGGAGCTTGTTAGTCGGGGTTAATCCCCGGCTTTTACGCTTTCCCCTTTCGGAAATCTTACATCTCCGGCTCTAGCACGTATCTTACTTTTGGTACCTAGGCAAGGTTGGCATCCATCCGTAGCTTCAACTGGCATTGAACATTATCAATCAACACCATGAACAAGAATTCAAGAAAAACCACCGACGCCCTACACCACAATACATCGTAGTTCACCGCTCTCTACCGAAGTTCTTTTTAGACTCCCTCTCTACAGGTGTCAGAAACGCCGCTTTTCTAGATCGAGCCTGTATGCCATTTATAGACGTCAATGTGTCATTGATTATCTCTCGGCACGAGCGACTGCATTCGACGGGCACGTTTATTCTCTCTAACTTCTTAGTTGTGACGAAGGCAAAAAGCAATGGTAAGTATCTTCTCTACACCATTGCTCCTCACCCTCCTCTTTGCTACACTAGACTACTTGAAGAAGAAAAGTCTGAGCGGTTCAGAGAAGCTTTACCGATGAATGATTAAGCCCTGAGAGCATGCAGAGCCAAGGCGAATCTCGCATCTCTGGGTCGAGTTTACAGCAAAGTTAATTAAACCACCGGAACGAACTACGATATGACAAAACCTTGTTCCTTGTCTACTCGTCCTCTTTCTCCCCCTCTCTCTGTCGGGAACGTCCCAACTTTCTTTTCCTAAACGCCGAAACATCTACGCGAACCTCCCCTCAAGCGGGCTCTCACGATGATGGAATCAAAACTACGCATGCTCTCGTCCCGTTCACCCTCTAGCATTGTGCGTGTGCGTGTGTGTATGTGCGTCTCCCCCACCTCTCACATGCTCACCAAACAGGAGACTGGGAGTGAGCTTGGTAAAGAGAGCGAGTAAACATGTGTCTGCCCGACAGGAACAGCAATACCTCAAGAGACACAGACCTTTTCCTCCAAAACTCAATCGTGTCTTCTCTCACCCTTTTTACCTACTGCGGTATGTTGTAATCCCCTCTACACACGCCTCCTCCACCTCCCCAAAGAAAACGTCCAAACACTTTCTCTCCTCGTTTTCCGCCATCCGTCAAACGCCCTACGCCGTCCAATGAACATATGCACATCAATATTCAAGCTTCCTGTTAACAACTATGTTTAGCCTGGCACCTCTTACAATGCGCGAACGCCTGCCGTACATGTAAATTTGCCGTTCACGTGCACCCAATACCTCACCTTACATACAACGTTCAGATTATCCAACAATAGCACACGTATCCGGATCCGAGAATCACTTTAATGCCCACACATTCTTCTCTTTCTTTGCCCATCGATAGCTGGAATGGGATATCATTAGCGGCTACTAGCGCCGCATTCCTAGGTCTCCCTCACCATCACCGCGGGCCGTACATCGGCGGCGGCCGTCTCTCAGACTTTCTCACGCACGGCCCGAGATAGTAAACGCAACCTACACCAACGCCATCTCGCACGCAGGCAGAAACAACCGCTAAGGCTGGAATGAAATCCCACCGGCATCTGTTCTACTCTGTCCTCCAAACATGGTCATCGTGTCGAAGCGCCTATTCAAGTATCAATCTTACCGCCATGACCCTACTCTAACTCAAAGTTTACTATACACGACGAGAGATTTGGTTCTCTGCTTGCTCCGTGAAATCCCCCCATCATCCCATCTTTGTATCGGCAAGACCGCTCTTACTCTTGCAGACCTGCTGCACGATCCAAAACGCAGTGCTGCTGCTGCCTCCTGGATATTGGAACATTTACTTGTCTAACTTCTTTTCTATCCATCATCACCTACTTACACGGGTGTGTTGCTGGCTGGCTGGCGTCTGTGGTTTTATCGGACTGCTTCACATCCGACCAGCCTCAGTCTCTCTACCGCGCCATGACCCCTAATAATTCTACACCATTTTTTTTTTCTTTCGTGATCCCGTCATCCCATCTGTACGGAGGCCAAAGAGGCACAGAATTTTCTTGACAAGCTTGAAACAATTTTCACGCTGCACGCTACTGTCTCATAGGGCTAGTTTGGCACGGCATGTGCCCGCGTTCTGTGAGGAGCGGCAGGATCGGGACAGCAGTAGCAGTAGTTGAACTTGCATCTCGATCTCCATCCGCCGCCGCCGGGCCGGCAGGCTTCAGCAGACAAGGTCTCATCCACATTACACACAGCACAGGTTGGAATAGAGTCGTTGACATCATGTTTGGCAACGACTTTCATTTGCCTTATGCAATAAAGCTACCGATCTTGTGCCGGACGACATGCCCGGCATCTCGTTGCCTAGGCAGCATCAAGATACATACACACAACACACACAACGCATCAACACTGTTTGCCTCCTCTTGAACCCCTCCTCCGAACCTGCACTGACGGCCTTTTGCTGTCAATGTAAGCCCGTCCATCCGGCCTCCTCCGTCTAGAGCTACCAGAGCTAAACCCCCACGCAACCGGTGCCTCCCCGTGCTTTTTCTCCAACTAGCTCAGCTAGACTCATGGGGCCTGTTTCCCCATCCAGCCAGCTTCGTGTCAAGGAAACCAATGTATTAGAAAACGCCAGGCTCTTTTTTAGTGGTTCCCTCTCTTGCTCCTTGCGCTTGGCTCGAAATCGTAGAAACAATAATACGAAATGATATGGAATAAAAATAAGATAAGAAAAAAAAAATCACACACATACACACGCGCTTTTGTACAATGAGACGCAGCTGGGTATCATAGCAGCGAGGAAGAGACAGCGAAGCAGACAGAGACCAAGTGCTGTCTTAGGAGGAAATGCCGCGGATAATTCTAGCGTTGTTGCCGACAGCGATGGTGAAGGGAGGGACGTCCTGCAGAATATGTTAGACTAGAGTTTCATCATTAAGGTGCGCATGTCGACGACATACCTTGGTGACAACCGCACCGGCCCCAACGGTGCTTCCGCGCCCAATCCTGACGCCTGGCAGGATAATGACGCCTCCACCAATGAAGCAGTCCTCTTCGATGGTGACAGGCTTGCCAAGTTGAGGGCCCCTGCTACCTAAGCGCTTCTTAGGGTCGGTGGGTAGCGTTGCCGCGTAAATGCTCACGTTCGGGCCAATGTGGCAATTGTCGCCAATCTTGACCTCGCAGGTGTCGATGATGGTGCAACTTCGGCCAACAACGACATTCTTCCCAAGGGAGATATTGTACCCGTAATCGCAAGTGAAAGGCGCTTCCACAACAACGTCCTCGCCCACTCTTCCCATGTTGGTCACTGGCGACGCAACCGTCGGCGAGATTTGGATAGGGTCGCGAGGTTGCAAAATCTCACGGAACAAACGGCCTCGCTCGGTTGGTGAGACACCGTTATTGGGGTTCGTCGAGTTGTTGAACCGCCAACATGCAGCGCTGCACCGCTCGCGCTCAAGAACAAGCTCTTTATCAAATGGATAGTACAGCTTGCCGGCAAGCATATCCTCCTTGTTCGTCGTCCTAGATCGGCTGGAAGAAAATTGGGTGTGCGACAAGGCCAGCTGCGCGGCGACTTGTGCGTTGCTAGTTGCTGGAGGCTGCGGGATGGGGCTGTTCGACCTCGTGGGGTGCAGAATGTTGATTTGCGGCAGCGTGTTGCCAGGATGAGGCGTCTCCGGTTCCGGCACAGTTCTGCTAATGTCGTGCAACGGGGGCACACGCTGGTAGTCCTTTCTCTCCGAGAAGGGGGCATGAGGAGGCCCTTGAGCACTGATTGGCGTCGGGAAGGCGTTCGCTGGAGTGTAGGGAATGGCGGATAGCTTGGTTTCGGGGCTCGCAACCGATGCACTGGGAATCGTCGAGGCTGTCGGCCGGTCGTCGTCAGTCAGTAGGGGTCGGCCCTGAGGAGGGTCTATACGCAAGGGCTGGCCACGGTAGGGAGGTAATGCCTCTCGTCTTGGTCCGACAGCTGGTTGGCTGCCATAAGGAGCTTGCTGTGGCATACCATATGCGCCAGGTGGGACGTAGCTGGGGTCTTTGGACTCCAAGGGGATGGCGGCGGCCTTGCTGTCCGGCTTCTGCCAAGCCGTATTTCGCTGCGGAGGATATCCTGCACAGACAAAGCCTCCACGAAGACAGTTGCTACCTAGAAAAGGGTCAGCGTGATCATTCCAGGAGAAAAAGGGGGAAAATGGAAAAATCAGGGCATATCCTACATTCCGGCTTCTGCTCGTCGCACTTCTTCTTCCTCCTTCGGCATGTAAGACAACCCGTCTTGGTTCGGTTGCTGAAGTTTCGCTTCCTCTTCGCCTTGTCGGATTGAAGCATATCACGGGATCCGCCAGGCGTGTAAGAGCCATAGGCCATAGATCGATCATCACCGTCAGGGCTGGTATTGTCGTAATCATTTGCATCCATCTGGTTGGCGCGTCTCAAAGCCTCCCCAATTTGCTCCTCGGATTGACCTTGGGTAGACGTTGCAGAAGGCTGGTCGTAGTAACCCCTCTCCTCCCTCTCCCTCTCTCTTTCTCTTCCCTCGCGTGAATACCATGACTCGCCCTGTTCCCTTGAATCTTCGCGTTCAGCATACGGGCGATGATCGCGCGAGGGCGTTCCATAGGGTTCACGTGATTCTGGTGGGTGGGGTTGAGAGGTGGTCTCTGGGGACTTTTCCTGACGCCCGGGAGCTTCTCGCCTTAGCTCTACTGAGTTTGACCGCTTTCTCTTATGAGAGCCGTCAACGTCGGGGTAATTTGCTGTTTGATACGGGGATCTGTCCTGGCTTGGGCCGGCCCAGGGTTCCCTCTGGCTTGGGGAGGGCTCTACGGCTGCTGTCGATTTGGGCTCAGGAAGGGCGGGCTGTCCATTGGTGCGCTCGTCTGACGGGACTCTACTGGCGTCGGGGTGCGGGTTGGGTGGTTCTGACGTTTTTGGTGAGCCCCCATTGAGGGCAGTAAATGTTGACATGATTTAGAACGGCACCTCACCGACTCGGACGTGGAGTGGTGAGAGTCGTTACGTCGCTATGCAGGCGCGTTGGGCCGAGCAAGCGATAGTTGTGCTTTGGTAGAATTGCTGCGCAGATGCAATAAGCGACCGGCGGCAAGGTAAGTTGACAGATAATCGTCGCGTGGTGAGTGAAGAGTCGGCGGGGAGCTTCGGCAGAGATGATGTTGACGAAAAGGGTGCGCAGGAGTTCGCGCGCGTCAATGAAAGCCAGAATCAGCGATTCGGGCCGAGCCAAGCTAAGCGGAATGTTGCTCTGGAATAGCTACAGAGCCGTAGAAGGCTCAGCAACAGCTAGGATGGCGGGTAGCGTTGGGCTGAAGGTCCGAGGCGAGCGAGCGAGCGGCTTTTTGAGACAGGGACGGCGCCTCGATATCTTCCGGACTTGGAGAGTCTCTTGAGAGATGATCTTCCGTGAGAGGTCGACGTGGATGAGTAAGAAATGGGGACCTCTTGTCTGGTGTGGTTGAGATCCAAGTCGTTGCTTTGTCGTGGGGGTGGGTAAAGTTTTCTTCTTTTTTTTTTTCTCTCTTTCCTTTCCTCGCGTTACCCCCTGGTCCCTTTCAAAGATCTGCACAAGAGGGGGAAAAAAAGAGAGTGAGGTGGTATCAAGCGCAATGATGACACTCTTTGCTGGCGGGACAGAGTGCTGGTACAAAGTACAGGTGCAGGTGCAGGTGCAGCTGGTAGTGCTGGAACTGGAACTGGAACTGGAGCTATCTTAGCAGCTGGAGCTATTGCTACTTCTGCCGCCGGTGGTGCTTCGGTACGCGGCGCGCGGAGGTCGCGGGAGCTTGAGCTTTGGACTTTTTTTCTTCCCTTCTTTTTAGTGGGCGTCGGCGGGGGGAGGGGCGTGGGACAAATAATTGCTTGCTGGGCTGTGCGCGCGTGCGTCAGTAAAAAAAAGGCAAGGTACCTTGTCTTAGGAACGTGCGACAAGGACGAGAGAGCGAGAGCGGTGTCTTGTCCGCTCCGGGGGTGGAACAAGGGCAGAAATTGGTGAGAAAGATGCCGCTGAGACCTGAGGCTGTGCAGCCCTTGGTGTATGAATATGTGTGAGAGAAATTGGATGGGAACAGCCCGACCCAGCGTCCCGGCCTGGACGGATGCTCGACGCCGTCAAGAGAGTTTCTGCCCTTGCCTTGTTTGGCCTTTGGGCGGCAGATGAAGGAGAGAAGAAACGCAGATGCAAAAGAGTGGGAGCGAACATTGGGCAGCGGTACATGTTAGAGATTCACTCACTTTTTTTTCTTTCCTTTTTTACTGTTGCTGTTCTCATGAAATATCCCTATTGGGATGTTGTCTGGAGTTTTGCTGCCTTGACAACTACTCGACTTGAGAATTGTTGGCTATGTTTGCTGGTGGTAATCCAGGATTGCTACAGCCTTGGATCCGACACGAGGAAACGAGCTAGTAGTAGTACCCGTAGATGCGATGTTCTGTCTGCGTTGGAGAAGAAGTAGGTGCTCCAGATGAAATCGGCCTTTGGAGCAGTTCAGCGCATGCGTGGTCTTGGCTTGACCGACGGGGTTCGTATTGCGGTTGCGTCCGGCCCGGGATGACAACGACGATGACGATGGGGACGCTCAAAGTCGAAATTGGGATCTAATGTAGACAATGAGCTCCGCAATTTGCTCGCAATTTGCCGTACCGGTGGTGGCTGGAGGGTTGTCCGTCCCGAAAGAGGTGATGGCAGTGGTGAGAGGTGTGTGTGTGTGTGTGTGTGTGTGTGTGTGTGTGTGTGTGTGTGTGTGTGTGTGTGTGTGTGTGTGTGTGTGTGTGTGTGTATTGTGAGTATTCGTATGAGACGGAAGCAGGCAGATGAATATTCGCGCCTGCGATTCGGTGTGTCGCCTGCGAGGAAGCAGAGAGTATCAAAGGAACCAAAGGGGAAACTGCGCCGGCGTTGTTCTCCTCAAAATGTACCGTGCGCCTCTCTCTCTCTCGTCTTCTTTTTCCCCAAAGTTGAGAAAAAGAAGGATGAAAAATCAAAAGGGTGAGAATAGAGTATTAGTCCAGCTTCTTGCCGCTGCCCTTGTGTCCAATTGTTCAAGGCCCGTCTGTTCCTTTCTCCCCGTCTCAAGGGTTTGTCTGAGTCGAGGGATGATGGCTGCTTTGTATGGCGGCGCTTGAGCGTTTTTTGACGCGCGATTATGCTGCGCCTGTTCGGGGGGTGGAACACTGAAGAGTGAGGAGACAATGTCCCACGTCGCGAGCCACTGAGGTAAGGTGAGGTGACTTGGGGCTGTAACGCGACTCGGATTGCAATTTATCCCGCCAAACCCGGTATGAATGCCAGTTCAAGTCAAGAATACTGGGCGAGTAGGGATATCCGTCTGTATCAATGCTCGAACCTTGCCTGCCGCGCGCCGTTTGCCTTTTGGGTGTAGAGAGTGGACGTGCAAAGTGCAATGAATCTGCCCTGCCTGATGAGTTAGGCTGCGTGACTGTGAGGAGGAAATAGTTTTGGTGGTGTCGGATGTTGACGGGTGGGATGGGCGAAAGGGTGAGATGACAAGAAAGTGTAAGTGTGACGAAGAGGGGGCAGAGGGTAGGGAATATGTTCATATCATGTGGAAATGGAAGTGGAAGTGGTAGCGAACCTCGAGTGTGAAAGTAGTGGTCGGGGTCGTGGTCGTGGTCGTGGTCGTGTCTTGGTATCTAGGTAATCGATTCGAGGTACCTTACTTGCTCCGTACTCTTTCTCTCTGTCTCGCGCGCTCTGTCTCTGTCGTATCCGTACTCCGTTCGTAGTGCACCTAGGTACTCCGATGAGCTGTAGAATGTATCCGTAGAAGCGTCTGGCATCTGTAGCCGCAGCCTTAGTTCGTCCCCGTAGCCGTCGTGGTGGGCAAGGAAAGCAAGGCAAGTCAAGGTATGAACCAGTCGTTGACAAGCCGGCACTGTCGAAAGTCTGTAGGCGAGCCAAGGGCTACCCTTGATAGTGCGGGAACCAGCCAGCCTTTTTCTTTTTCTCTTTTTCTTTCCTCCTGCTGCTACGCGCTCACTCGCCAAAGCTCAACTCCAATGGCCGAATGATTAGAAAGAAGGGTCTCTGTGTGTCCGTCGTCCGTACTCAACGTCCACGCTGGGCTGCGACCGAAATTGCAAGGGAACGTGAAATACCTCTCGGGGTAACAGGGACGAGACGAGGGTCTCGGGGGGTGCCTCTTTACTTTTGTATCCTGTACGGATCAAGAGAAAGAGAGTACAGAATCTCTCCAAAAAAGTACCCAGAGTGCGGCCTCACTCACTTTCTTCTTGATCCTGGTTCCCTTCTCCCGCGAAATCACACCTTGTGTGCTGCATCCACACATAGAGCCCTCTCCTCTCGCTCACCCTTCTTTCCCTGTGTGTGTGTGCAAGTGTTGGTCTGAATATGCAAGAGGCATCAGTATCGCCTCTCTTCATCTTCTCCTCTCATTCCTGGGTCATACCTACGGATCCATCCCTCCCAGACACCCCAGTCCCTCGTCGCTAAACCCGGGAAACACGAGCAGCATTGGGTCGCGGCATGGCGCTTCCCACGGGTACTCGACCGCCACAGAGTACTCGCGCGATACTGCTGCCAGTAACCACTTGCGTTTGTCGTCGCTTCCACGGCCACCAGCTGGGTCCCCTGGCGAGGCATGAACAGGGGGGGGATGGTATGCAGAAAGGAGGGGGCGTGTCAACAGACCATTGGAGACTTTGGGAGAGGGCGTGAGCCACAACCTCTGCAACCCGCGTCTGGTCGCTCCAGCTGTACGTACAACTCAACTGAACTGTGCTTGATGGTAGGTCGACCTGGGCTAGCCGGGCCTGGGCTGGGATATGCCCGCCGTGCTTGTGCCCATCGCCGTCCCTGCTCGCCTTGCCTCCATCCCCAAATCGAGCTCCCCCGTGAACCCAAGGCCGTTGCCCTTCCAAGCTGTGGAATGGCAAATATGTCCTTTCTCTCGACAACCTTTTTTCATCGTCTGTAGGCTCAATGTCATGAGTGAGAGTCAATTTGACTATGCCCACCAACTTATTTTCCGTGTCGCGGTGATTGGTCTCCAGGTTACAAGGATTGGCACACACCATCATCTCGAGGGCCTCACCGGCCACATCGCCCACCTCCCCGCGATGCGATATTGGGCTAAATGATGCACAATAGCAGTGTCCTGTATGTGTACTGCGTACACATACTGCACCATAGTCATGTAGGAAGGTGAGGTACCGTGCACGTACGCATACTTGTGTGCTCGATAATACGTCTCTTAACCTCTGCCACGTGATGGGGGAGGTTGATGGAGGGATCTGCCATCCTTTCCCCCCCTTTTGAAGGCTACCAGCGCATGGCAAGGTGTGTTTTTGGCCCCCGCTCTGCCGCGGCCGTGAGCCGTCGTCATTTCCAGTGTCTCCAGAGTTTGGGGGCAGGAAACAAGCGA